ACCTGACGAAACTCCCTCATTCGAATGCGCTAACGTTAACTTGGATTTCGCTCGTTCGAAAACGTTGACAATTAGTTTCATCAACATTGTTCGGTGGATACAAAAATAGCAGAGTAGAACTTGTTGATATTGAATGAATAGTAATGTGTTAAGCGTGAGTAGGATAGAGAGAGAGAGAGTCAAAGCAAGCAACAACCGTTTCCGTTCTCCCAACACCAAATCGAGATGGGAAGTAATAGGAAGAGAACAAATGAGAGAACGAGAGAGAGAGCATGCAAAGAGAAAGATATAATATTTGATGAAAGTTTATCGTCTCGTCGATGAGTAGAGAGATATTCTCTTTTCTTTCATTCTTTACATACAAAAATCAACTGAATGTTCTGTATCGCAATGTATCGTTCAAAATGACAACGAGTACAAAGGTGTTACATTTAACTTTGATGATCAAATTTTGTCTAATGAGAAGTCCTTCAAAACAGAAGAAACCCAATTGATTGATAAGACCTGCCACATTTGATTAGAATAATTATCCAAGGTTATTCGTCAGACGACGAGAATGTCAATAGCAATACACACTAATGAAAAACCTCGATTACTAGTCTCAAAACAAAACAAGAACGGCCAGATTGTGAATTTTTCCAATGTGAATCGCGTTTCGAGAAAGAGAAATAATTTGTACAGACAATTTGACCGCACACGTCATTGATTAATAGACGAAAGATAGGATTATCAGCTGCTGCTGCTGCTGTTACTGTCTGCTCATATCATCGACCTCGTCTAAAGAGGTTGCATGATGTACTATTGTCCATGGGCGAAAGACAGCTTATGTGTATCATTCGTTAGACATTTTTTGTTCCTTGAATGATTACAAAACAATTGTGAGAATGATGATTGTTTATCTCATTGTTGAAGAGCTTTTAGCATTCAGATTGTATAAACAAATTTGTTGTTCTTAGTCTTTCTTTTTTTCTCTCTCTCTTCACTCAATTTAATTATTCCGTCTAGCTATTGAACTAGTCGATAGAATAAAGGTTACACCGGCACATTACCTTTATGACACCAGGCATCACGAAGTTTCTTCCACATTGATCATAAACATCGAATGGTTAAATTCAAGCACCACAGATCGTAGTCTATCGTTGTATGCGCGCGTGTGTATGTGTGTGTGTGTGTGTGTTGATGACACTCAAGGTTGTATAATGCTTATAGATATATGCATATAATAATCCTTCTTGGTTAATTTTCATTCGATTTTCACGCCTATCCATTTATTTCTTCCATCAAGCATCATCATGATAAAGATAGTCGAGGAAGAGAAGAACGAGAAAGTACTTTAGAGATAATCCTATTAAGTTAGGACGGGAAACGGAGAAAAGAGGAAATAATAAAATGACATTATCTCATCTCGAACACTAAAAACGCATTTAAACATTGAAAATAGTCAACAGGCGGGTCAAAGTAGAAGTACCGAAGTCTATCAAAATGCCAGATGATGTCAAATTTTCGAAATCTTTTTCAATTTTAAGTACTAAGAATCGATTTCATAGCAATACTACTCACGCAATAAAAAAAAACTTATGTAGCTGAAGTCGAAGGAAGTGTCGAAGTCTGCTTTGTGCTTCATTGAAAGCGAGACATGCTGTCTGGTGTCCAACATCATGAAATTTAATTATAAAAGTAATTGCAAACAACAAAAGTCAAATTTGAAAACTAAAATATATGGAAATGCTTGTTTTGCTGAAGTTCTCTTCATTGAAGATAGATCATTAGACCATAGTATGTAATCGAATGATATTTATCCTTCCGACAAGCATTAAGTCTACTTCTACTCCACGGGTAGTGCTGATAACAGGAAGTCTGACTAACTGCGCCGTTCATACTGTTATATTCAATAATTCGAAGAAAACAGAATGTCCGAGAGTAATAAGCGAACCATCGTAAAAGTCATCCGCACGAGAAAAACAAGTGGAGCGCTCGCAATCTAATGATGCTTTTTCTTTCGCTAAGCTTCATTGACATGAGACGCCGGATTGGTAATATTACATCAATTCAAAATCCACTTTTCTATATTGCAAAATGATTCGTTCGCGTTTGTATCTAGTCATCAAATAATTTGTTTATTAATACGACTGCTTACAAACAAGTACGAAGTGCTGGAATCTGACTAACATGTCAGAATCAGGCGAGATACAATCAGAAGAACAGATTTATCGATGCCGAGTTTTCTGTTTTTATTGGTTCTTTCTTGAACATGTTTCAATCTATTTTGAACAAGCAAATAAGAACGAGTTTGAATAGCGAAGAGAAAAAGGAAAGAAGAACGCATTCGACATCTCGCGGTTAGAGTGGAAACACGCATAGTGAACCACATATTTCACATCGCGATTAATTTCACGCATTCACATCATAGTAATGATAGATCATTATAATATTTTCTCTTCAAAACATTGTCATACATAGAACATTTCGCAACTGTTTTGTGTATCTTGTTTCGCAAATGAAATTTTCTCAATCGTTTGACATTTGAATAGAGTTTCTCGAAGCGTAATTCAAAAGCATCATGCAATGTTTTTTTCCCCATTAGTTAACAGAGAATATCTCTGATATTTCATTATTTTTTTTCTTCGCTCTTCATCTTTATGGTCACACAATCTCTTTTTTTTTCTTTCTTTCTTCTATTTCTAGTTCACTTAAATAGAAAATTGTTGTGTACTCAAGAAATTTCTTATGGACATTCCTGCTAACTGGTCGGGCGTTTTTCAAAGTGGCTATCATAAGTGCACGTCGACGAATGAAATCTTTTTTCGATATTTGGGAACATTGATCTTCTTTATTGGAATCATTTCAACGTTTTTGAGTATTGCGGTCTTTACCAGAAAACCTCTTCGTATGCTATTGCGTTCTTTGAAAAATTCGGACTGTTTACGGATGCTTTCCTTTCAGGTCGGAAGTCCTGTTGTTTCTATTTTTTAATATTAGCTATTAGTGATTCCATACATTTAACAACGATGACGATTGAGCATTTACCATATGCCTTTCAAGTGGATCTCGTTATTATTCATTCTGTCATCTGTAAATTGATCATATTTCTCATATATTTCTCTAATCATCTATCCAATATCATCCTAACTTTAGCATCGATGTAAGTCCATTCTATTGTGAATTATACATATTTTTCTCCTCATACCTGAATAATTCAATGAGTTGCGCTTTGTCGGAAGAGCAAGAGATGAATTCTTGCAAATCTCAAATGAGAACAACGAAGAGTGAATATCTATAAGTAGATACCTAGCGTTTATTATTAATTTCTGCCATGGGAAAAATCATAATTAAAAGTCATGGTTTTACAGAACGATGAAGACATGTTGTACTATAATTAAGGTTGAGTCCTGAATTGTAATTTATGATTCTTGAACTAGTAGAGATTCAATGAGACCAAGTCTGATCACAAAGAATATTCGCTTAACTGTGCCATTGTTTTCATACGTAATTACAAGAAATTTGTAATGTATGATGTAGATTACTTCTAATATCCTGTCATTTTGTTTTGTAAGTTTAAATATAAAAAGAATAAATGTTTGTTTTTAGCGACCGATTTCTTCTCATTTATTATCCATCGCGTTCGCGAAACTTTTGTAATATCCAAAAGGCCAAATGGTTCACTACTATTGTAATTATTGTCGTCTTTTTCTCCAGCGGACATATTTTATACGGTTATGAAAGAGTTCTTGTCTTTAAACAAGACGCGTTCGAGTTGTACGATTGTACTATTCCAAGCAACAATGCTCTTTATTCCCAATTCTTTCTCTTTTATGATTCTTATATTGAAAGTATATGTTTTGTTTCTATTCCATTCATTGTTATGAGTATTTGTTCAGTATTAATTATTTATCAGATACTCATCTCACGTCGAAATGTTCGCTCGAACTCTCGAAGTAAAGGAAATCTTGTTAATTGATAAAAATATCCTTCTTTTCCTGCCTTTTTCTTTTAGTTAAACAATCACGGTTACGTGATAAAGATGTTCAATTGTCTTGCATGTTAATTGGTACATCCTTCGCATTTCTGTTTCTTTGCTTGCCTGCTGAAATCAACGATACATTTAATTATCTCATCTACGAACATTCTTGTCCGTATTGGCTTCGAAAAGTAGTTCTCATTTCACTACAACAGATCTACTATGCTGGACACTTCTATATTTACACTTTAACCGGACAAATCTTTCGCAGACATTTATACGCCTTTCTCTTCCTACGCCGTCGTTCGAGTGCATTGAGCAAACAAGATTTCCCAACAGAACATCGTCCGAGCGTGAATATTGACACGAATCGCCTACGAACAAGTGAAATCGAAATGAGCTCGCGACCGTTTCTAGATGATTCATCGTCAAGATCACGATCAGATTGTCGACTAATTATTCAACTATAATCGTCGTTAGCTAAATAAAGCCATCATGTTATCTTAAGATTTCCAAACTTAGCTGATTTAAAGAGGAGAAAAAGGAAAAGAGTAGCACGCGACCTGATAAACTCGTGCGTTAATAATATCGACTATTATCGAAACGCTATAAATTATGTATCGTTCTGGATAGAAAAATCATTTCTAGGAAAGTTCAGCGGATGTTTTCTGAATTTCAAAATGAAATTACTTTCTCATTTATACGAAGAAAAACACAGGAAACATCATCGATAGTATGTCTTTTCTTTTCAGTTCTCACTATTGTTCTTGAATAATGTATTGCAATACCTCGTCGAAAGTGTAAACATTTCATTCATTGCATGATAGTTAACAATAAACGATAACACAATCGTAGGAAATGATTTATTTCACGTACATCAAGGACAAAAAGTGCTCGAACTATAGTTATTACAATATCATCAACAAGAAAGCAAAAAAAAAAGAGTAACACAGCATGATGATGTATTTTTTTGTGATTTCGATTTTCAGCTGTTTCGGGGTGTATATAAAGGCTTCTATGGAATGGATTTGTTTCATTCATCATGTCGTACTATTTTCTCTTCGCAATTGTTGGTCTTGTGTCATTTGCACGTGCGCAAACGCTGATCAATGATTCCTGTGAATCACATGTTGATAAGCTTAGCACTTGTGCAGGTACGATAAGCTTTTCAGGGGTTTGTTATTCAAGCAAAATTGAGCTTCGTGATACCCAGTACGTGAAATGTGCCAATGTTGACTTCTTCTGGTCATATCCTCTGAATAATATGACGTTGGTTATCGAAACGCCATTCACTCAAAAACGTCAACGTTTTACAGTGAGTCTTAAAACTCAACCATTGCAAGGTGCTGTGTCACATGTTTATCGAATTATCGATGATCAAGAAACTGATGTGACAACACGTGAGCCGGTTTTAACGCAAGATTCGGATGCTAATTATCAAGTTATTTTGAAATTTCAAGGGCCAACACATCTAAGTCGTTATGGTGTTGAAATTCAATATGAGTCTACTGTTAAAGCTTGAAAAAAAAAATGAAAAAAATAAATCAGTTCGAGGACTGTAAAGCTTGCTCTAAAATCACGGCCATACCAATAGCTTTTTCATCTTCTAATCTTCTACAAATCACTTGTAGCCCCACCATGCAGTTTTCAAACTTCGCCGGATCACTGTAGGTATCTTTCACTAAACCATCGAATTCATTTAAAATTTTTGATTGACGATAGTCCTCAGTAACTTGATCTAAGTTCAAATCAACTCGAGTAATCGGCAGAATTACCGAACTCAATTGAAGTAGATTAATAACGCCTGTATAACCAATAGTAAGACTATAGTCGTGTGGATATGCAGGTAGTGCATAAACAGGCGAAAGAATCCCATCGATAGGTCGGCCTGTAGATGTTCTCTCCTTTGTTTGGTTCCATTGTTCGTAGTATTTAAGTGCGTAATTTCGACGAGCAACGTTCACTTGCCAAGTTTCATAGACACTAATTTCCGTCTCAGGCGATCCGATGAAAGCACCAGTGACAAGCGGTTCTCCACTTAAGTCAAGTGCTTTCTGAACATCTTTTCCACCATCAGCTGTGCACATTTTCACAAAGATATCGCACGCCTACTGAAGTGTTTCGTCAAATGAATTAAGAGAAGAACATTGATAAAGCTCACCTGAGGATAATCACTTGTATCCCATTCGATAATTTCATGTCCCGCTCGTTTCAGTGCATCGATAGTCATATTCATTGCGCGTTTGACCGGAGGCGAAAGTTGAACAAACTGATCGAATAGAATCACGCCGAATGCTAACTTCGGGCTTTGTCCTTCTTGATACAGATGTTCTCGCCAAGGAATATTATGCACTTGTGGATCGACTAACCAAGATTTCGCTTCGAGTATTAATTTAAATATCAAACGAATATTTGCTAGAGAGCGCGTCATTGGTCCAACGACACTCATCAACGATTCTAAACCATCTAAAGAATTCTTTGAATATCCATACGGAATTCGTCCATGGGATGGTTTCATTCCATAGACTCCATTGACAGCGGAAGGAAAACGAATGCTTCCACCAATATCGGTGCTAAATCCACAAATGCTGCCTTTCATCGCAATTAAACTTCCTTCGCCGCCTGAACTGCCTCCGCTACTCAATTCTCGATTTAACGGGTTTATCGTTCGACCTAGAAGATTACTTTTTGTTTCGCCGATCATAATCGTCTGTGGAAGAGCTGTTTTAACATACAAAACAGCACCGAGCGAAAGAAGAACATCAACAAGAATCGAGTTTCTTTCAGCAAAATTTCCCAAATAGCCAATGTAACCCATAACGGTTTCAACGCCTCTGATGTCGAACTGATCCTTCAAACTAATCGGAATGCCATGCAATGGTCCCATCGTTTTGCCACCGGTTAATTGATAATACTTATCCAGGTAATCCGCACGTTCCAATGCTTGTACGAAGAAGATTTCCGCTAAACAATTCACTAATTGATGAGCGATCGATGCTCGTTTGCAATAAGCTTCGGTGACTTGTCTTGCGGAATATTTTCCTTGCGCTATCCGATGTGCCAATTCCTCTATGTCGTCGAGTTCGGTTATTTCCAAGTCGAGTGCTGAAAGGAGGCCACATTGTGATGGAATTGTTGTTAAATTCTTCGGAAGATTTTCGATAATCGATTCAGAAAGTTTCCATTCAGATGGAATTAAATTTTTCAATGCAGTTTGTTTTTCTCGAGCCTTCTCTTGCCAAGTCATACCTGTGTACATGATAGCTATGACGCTTATCTGTTCTACAAAACAAAAAACAACAAGCTGCACGCTCCGTTTTAACTTAGGTAGCGAGTGTGAAGAACATCACATGTGTCGCCGAGATGCTTTTTAGCAAAGAGAATTGATTGTTCGAACGGTAGGACGTTTCATCTCTAGATTTGCTTTTATTCAACGAAACTGAAAGTATCATCATAGACGTCGGGTGAAGTGCAAAATACTCAATTAAATAAGAAAGAAAAAAAAGAAGAGAACGAAAGAGGTTTTCTGTTCGGACGTGTTGGTTTTTCCCATGAAAATAATCGAGTTTTGATCGATGGTATTATTGAGATCTACATGCATGAACACCCGGTTGTCCACTTTCGTCATCTGAATCGCCACCATCGTAGGCTTCACGACGTTGACCATGTCTATGATCATGTGCTGATTTGGTCGTATGAAAATCGATCATGGAGACGTCTTCAACGTTTTCTCCTTTAGGTATTTCGACATGTGGCCGTTTTGGTAAAAATGTTTCTAATTGCTGAAGGAGAGAAAAGAAGAGATTTGCGGTGTTTTGGAAAGGAAATTAGGTAGGCAATTACTTTTAATTGATCTTCGGTAAAAGTTTTTTCCGATGGAAAGTCCACATCAAACTGAATAATTAAATCTCCTGTATCATGTGTTCTCATGTTGATCATACCTTGTCCTTTGACACATCGATAAGTTTCTACAAATCAAACAATGGCAATGATGTTTGTCTTCTTTTTACGTCACAAGACTCACCTGGTGCAATCGGATCATTTGGCGGATGTTTAATGACAATTTTTCTTCCATCTAAGTGTGTAACCACTAATTGAAATCCACATAATGATTCGACTAAGTTGATTTTATGTTTCATGATCAAATTATCTCCACTACGTTCGAAAGTAGCGTGAGGTTCTTGTTGTAAAACAATAATCACATCTCCGGGTTCCATATTTGGCGCTTGATCACTTTCCCCAGGAAAGCGAAGTTGTTGTTCATGCTTACTACCTAAAAAAGTTCAGCTTTATTTTCGTTGACAATCGCAATCGCAATCAGTTTTACCCGGCGAAATAACAACTTCGAGTTTCTTCTTCTGATCGACTGTTTTTCGTCCATTACACGTTTTACAACGATCACGTTCATTGATAATTTCGCCTTCGCCGTTGCATTCTTTGCATACTTGTTGCATTCGTTGAATCATACCTGGACCGATTTGTCGTGTGACAAATTGAATACCTTGACCGCGACATGGTGCACATGTTTGTTTGGCACCTTCTTTTCCACCGTTACTAATTCAAAAGAAGTTTTTGTCAGATTTCAATCGAAATCGTCGACTTACCCATTACATGCCTGACAGATAACTTTACGCGATATTTCAAGTGAACGTGTGTCACCTTTGTACAGTTGTTCGAGTGTTACTCTAAACTTTTCAAATGAAACAATTTGAATGTTGAAATAAGGAACAGTTACTTGAGTGGATGAGCAACATCATCACCTTTGCGTCGACGATTTCGACCTCCTCCACCCATAGGACCACCAAACAAACCTCCAAATCCACCAAAACCGCCAAATGGATCACCACCACCGCCGCCGCCGCCGCCGAAAAATTGACCAAGAATATCAGCCATACTACCTGAAAACACAGCCTAATGGCTTAAACATCACATTATTCGGAACTCTGCAAACCTCCACCACCGCCGCCGCCGCCCTCTTTCAATCCCTCTAGACCGTACGTGCTAGAAAAAAGAAACTATGCAGAAGATTTCCTAAATGACTCGATATTCTTACTCATAAATATGTCTTTTATTCTCATCTGTTAGAACTTGATAAGCGAAGGAGATTTCTTTGAATTTTTCAGCGGATTCTGGATTTTTATCTGGATGATGAGTTTTGGCAAGTTTATGGTATGCCTAAAAAAATCATTCGAACGAATTGATTTTTCAACAAGCACGAGATGATCTACTTTTTTGATTTCTTGATCGGTTGCACTACGTGAAACACCAAGTAAATCGTATAGTTTATTATCAGGCATTATGATTTTGTGAAAGTTGGTGAGAACGATCTAGAAAAAAAAACCGGTGTTACGTAAACAAATATGTACGATTAATTATCAGAAAAAAAAACAAAAGAGATGTTGATGGCGCATACGAAACGATCAACAAGATGAAATAATGACGTAAATTTAGGAAGAAGACTCGTCGAGTTCAAGGTAAAAGATGGATTGCATCGAAAGAAGTCGTTTTGAAAAAAAGAAATTTTATCAAGTCATATTAATTGGCTTGGAAACATTCGATTATATGTGTCGCTAGTGACAAAGATGTATATGCAATAGAAATGGCTGGTTGTAACCAATCGAAATTCACCAGTCGGTACCGTGGACTTCATACTCGAAAGGAGAGTGATTTTTCTGTGCACAAAGATCCAGCAAAGATCAAATAACTTTTGAGAAAATCGAAAGATGTATTTCCAATCAAAAGAAAACACCAAGTGACCTCTTATATTCAATATGAAACCGAGAATTGAATCAGTTAATCTTGATAAGCAGTTGATGAACATGATTGCATGATAGAAAAGAAAGGATGTTACCCTGGAAGAAATGATTAATTTATGTTGTGACTCAACATCGATTTCAACCATCAACGGCAACTAAATCATGAATTTCACGGTGATCACTCTCCTGCATCGTTCATTACGACATTTCACATACTTCAGATACTAGTCATATATAATTATCAGAACGAAGGAACATACGCATGACTTCCAACTTGTTTATAATATTAGACTATTGTCAATTGTGTAACAGACATTGAGTATACTTTTTTAGTAGTATTTCCGTATCAAGCAAAACACTAATTGCTACGTTCTCAGAGACAAATCATCAATGTATGGGAGAGTACTATTGACGTCAGATAGATAAAATGTTTTTTTTAACGTAGCTCCGCTTATATCATTACATTTCAGAAGTTGCGCGCCTTTACGCTCGAACAAATTCAGCCTTTCCATTTGCAGAAACAATGTGTGTATGAAGACATTCTCTATAGTAGGCAGTCAAACAGGAAATCGATGTCTGTAGTTTCGAGATTGTCTTTGACGGATGTTGTCGAACTTCTTCGATGTTTGTTCATTCGTTTCTTTTCTTGAAGAAGCGAATGTCGGACCGCCTACGCTGATGCTAGTTTAACAAACGCGACAAACAGAGCGTAATGAGATGCGAATGATGTCAAAACTCCAAGTAGATAGGTTACTTGATTGCAGATTTATCCGATCGTAATACACGAAAGATCGGACAAGATCTGAACGATTCTAATCAGATTAGAATTTTCTTTCGATTTTTCATCATAATCAACAAGACTCCAATCGGAATTTGTTATTTCCATTAAGCTTATTAACCGTTATTAACAAGCAGGAAATGAAACACGTTTTGTTCTTTATAGGAAATTTTAATTAATATTTACACCTTAACTCTTTCCTTTGGAGTTCGTATAAAAATATCCTGTAAAAGATTTCCACAGACGTTGTTCATTTGTTGTAAATAAATTCTTCAGCGTTCGACTTCTGCCATATATTATCCCAAAGAACAAAAACCAACAATAATCTCTCTCTTGGGTTTCTCACGGACGCAGCGCAGTAGTAAGTTGCTTTGTTTGCTTCTCTCGAAAGAATTTCTAAGAGAAAAGATTCAAACAGACAAAAGCTCATGTAGAAATACACGCATCATCACATACAACGAAGATTTTTTTTCTTCAAACACATGCGAATGAGACACGAAAGCATTTCTTTTTTGTTCTATCATAAACATGAACTTAGATTCCTAAATTGATACTTGATTGTGTACTTCTTCATTCCATTTTTAATCACACGTACTCGTCTAACATATATCCGTGGACGTTTAGGGGCAAACATGACCTCCACATCGTATTCTACCATGGAAATGGAATCATTTACAGAAAAAAGATCGATTCTATCATTACAATCGAATGGACCATTCATCAGTGATATTTTCCAACGACAACCTGCTATTGAAAGAACTCGCCGCAAAATAATCACATATCTTTTCATCGAATTTGTAAGGAATGAATCGACATATTGTCAATAATGACTTAAATATCTCTATTTAGGTCGTAATGATTAGCTATGTAATCCTTCAAATCGTCGCTTTCATTTTGGACGATTCGGGATCTCATAAAGTCGATACGAGCATTATTATCGAATTGATTATCAGTAAGTTCGTTTCGGACAAGTTTCACCTCCGTGATTTTTCCATTTTAGCCGGTGTTTTAGTTCTTTATAATCTTTCTTTCATCATTATGTTAACTGAATATTTCCCGCGTGCAATCTTCGTGGTAAATTGCTCTCGTTTATATTTCACCAAACGATTTGTGTATGTTCGTTGTAGTTTTCCTGTCTGACCTTAGTGCAATTAGCAAGTGCGTTTCTCTTATTCGTACTTTCAATTATGACAACAGTCGTTAGCTTATCCTTGATACATGCCGTTAGATTTGGAATCATTCTCGATATAGTTTATATCATCATAGCTTTGTTCATCATTGGTCTATCGGTAGGGATAGTTTGCTCTTCGGAAAGTATGCCTTTTTTTGCTGTTTTTAGGCGTCGATTTATCTATGTTTATTGAATTTAGCTAAACTAATGGAGAACTGAAATGAATTTCGATGTTTTTCCTATGAAATAAAGTATATTGTTGGCTCGTTAATGAAGAATGAAATAAATGAAATTGTCGCAAGTAATTTCAGTTGAAAAGAACTAACGGGATACTCACTATAATATTTCAAGTCATCCAAAGTTAATCAAAAAGCAAATTACGCTATGCTTTTCTGCCCTGTACCACCCGGTAAACATAATTTCAAAATAATTTTTCAGATGTCGAGTCGTAATAGTTAATTATGATCACGAAAAGCTACTGAAACAAAAGCGTTTTGTTAATCTTCCCTTGAAATACCTCGAAGCGATCAGGAGTATCATGTACGAACAGATCAGCAGGTTAGATCTCTTAGTGAAAGTAGGAGAAATGTTCTGCTTGGTACATTCGACTTCGCGTAACTTCAACGTGATAAAAATATATCATATCAATCACATGGCAAGACTTCGAATTTTTCCATTTTCTTTCTCTTAAGAAAATGATATTGTTTTTGTGAACTAAGTCAATTATTAGATCATTTCATCTTCAGTCTATATCTATGGCACTCGACAATAATGTAGTGCTGAAAACTTCTGTCTAACAAACTCATTTCCATTTCTACATGTGAACTGCACATGATCAAATATAACAACATTGAGAATTCATATCTAAATTAATCCTTTTCGAATCATCCAATGAAAAGGATTTGAAGGTGAAAAAAAGGGCATTTCGTAACCGTTTATCCTATCTAGAAAGCGAAATACTCCTACCATAAACACCCACACTGCCAAAAAACACACACAAATGTTTTCTCTCCTCTCAGAAAGTATATCGAACGCAAAAACTAAAGAACACCAATCACCTATCTCTCTGGGTGACAACACTAATAGTGTATTGCATTTCATATAAATACATTCGAGACATAACTCGCGAAAAAATGTATAACGAAACGTGTCGTTCTGTTTCGTCGATCAGAGATACAAGCAAACATTTATTTTCTTCTTTTCCTCTTGATGAGTGTACATTCATTTTGTTTCATATAAACACTGATAGCGACTATTTTCGACGATGAGTTACGCGACAACTAACGAAAAAGCTCCAATAACGCCCATGCAGTCGTCGCAACCGATGGGATTCCATGATAATCGAGAAATTCGACGAACTCGAACAATTCTTATTGTTGTTTTAACAATTGAATTGGTAAAAATGTTTCTCGCGAGATTTTTCAATTCATATCATCGAATCTTGTTTTTTTTCTTTCAGTTGTTGGCAATCATCTATCTGATTCAGCAAAGTGTTTACCTTACACGATACAATAATCTCCCATATGATATGCGTAATCATACATCAGGCACTACTTACACTGCCGGAGTCGTCGGCGGTACGATTTTCGCTCTTTGAAAAGATGATTTTCTACACAAACTTTTTTCCTAGGTGTTATTTCAATAGTTTATGTGATTTTGTTTCTGGTTTTCGTCACGCTTCACCTCCGCATCCCAATTCTCATTGTATGTTTGATTTGTTACAGTTATTCCTTATCGTTTAGCGTCTGCTTAGGTCACGTGGTTGGGTGTGATTCAACTGATCTTCATTGGTGCTGTTTTGGTCATTACAATATTGGCTATTCTTGCCTCGACTATCGCTACGACTTATATTGTCGGCGGATTTATTGCTAGTATCATCATAATCGTCTTGGTTGGAATTTCATCGATTCTTGTGGTAAGTTTCCTATTTGAATGGGAGTTTCTCAGTGACCGGAGGTCATTTTGTGTTTGTTATATAGATTTTATCGGTTTTTTTTGGATTTAAATTGTCAAAATTACTCAAAGCACAGGAAAATTATCAAATGGTTTGAAGAGCTTTTTCCCAACCGGAATTCAGCGTACAACTTCATTTGACTAATCATTTTCTCTTCGCATTCGACTAACCTTTAACTCAGTAATTCAACATACGACATTAACATTGACTAACTACTCAATATATTCAAACATACAATTGATTTCTTGCTTCATAAAATGAATGAGACTTTATTCAAAAGCGAAGTGTGTAAAACGTGGAAGAATATTTCTTTGCCGGTACTCATTCTGTTAGTACACTAGTGTAGCTAGAAAGTTCACACGTACATGGAATGTAAATCTCATTATTGAAGGCTGGAGGCTCGTTACTTTTATTGACCCGCTCGGATATGAATAGCTGCTGTGATTGAACAAACAATGCGAAGAAAGATGTGGGAAATTTCATTTACAAAATAAAACCTGATGAGAAAATAAATGGTTTTTTTTGTCGTACGCAGAGACACAACACAATCACGTGGTGTGAATAGAGTTGATAATAAAATGAGAAATACACATTCAATTGTCTCCGAGTCATCAAACGAGTACTTGGCAGGTAGCCCTTTTGGTATTTCAATGCGAATGGAAGTTTTTTTAATAAATTTTTTCCTTTCCTGGTAGAATTACACGACATCTATGTTAACAAATTGAGTGGTACATGCAAACGAGGAAGTGCATGTAAATTAATGAAATATTACTAATATTCCACTTGAGAACTTTGATGTATTCATTTAACCGGGAAAAAAGTGTATTTATACAGGAATAGTGAAATCAGAACGTTGAGTAAGGTGAGTTATTGAATTTGATAGACGATCGTTGACCTTCTGATTAGAAAGAGCAAGTTGCTTTACTTACATTGAACAAAATTAATCGCTACACGATTCAACTAGAATGGCAGGCGAGAATGAGACACTAGAGCGTATAGTCCATGCCGCAACAAACAAATTTAATCAATATGCTGCCAGTCAAACACACTTTATCCCTCCCCAAGCACATATTTCAATCGATATCGAATCGAATGGACTGGCCAAAGTATATATAGACGTCGAACACAACGGAAATCAATACCATTTCCGATCCGTACAAGAAAAAGATATTGACGATGTTCATACATATTTGAACAGTCAACCTGCTGTCCGAGCAAAGTATAGTAATGGTCAAATATGTTCCCTAACACAAACTACGTTCAGAATGCGTACGCTGACCGATCGGTTCGAAAATCGCAATTCATCTTTATATCTTTATAGCGGATTTATCGTAACGGACGCTGAAACAGACATGTTCATAGGTATGGCTTCTATAGGCAAAGGTACCGAGCCAGGTACGACAGAAATGTCACGTTTAAATCGAACAGAATGTTGGAATCATTCGTCAAATAATACTACAGCAGGTGTGAATACAATCGGTCGAAAAATCTATTCGGGTATTGGAACAATTGAAGCATGTGTATTGATACAATATGCCACTCGATTGAAACAAGAAGATTATATGGTAGATGGTCATTCACTGCAAGCAATTGTGTCGACAGCAAGGATCGATAACGAAGGTTCTTGGAAGTCTGCTTGCAAAGCTGGAATGGCATTGGATAAGGTCGAAGTCGTTGAACGTTATGGAACGAGTTTACGTTATTTATTAAGAAAAAATATTTAACTTTTGTCACGACTAGTTGATCGTGACTGTTCTCAAATATTATAATGATGAGATCTATTCAGTTCGGACATAAACAAGAACATGGTGCAAAGGCGTTTAGAGACTTAGAAAGAAAAGATTGTAATTTGATTTCATTTCTCAAATAAACGTGAGATTTTTTGATTGAATCTTTTCGCGTATCTTCCAAGTACAATAGTCGGATTACTGATTATTTGACAAGTAAAGGCAGATGAGTTCGTACGTCAAATTAGCTATCTGATAGACTTTTATCTGATTTACGATTACGCATAAGGGCAAAAATGCTACCCATAAAACCAAATCGTTCACATCGACTCAGAGTAGGAGAAATGGATACTCCGGATCTCTCGACTACTCTGCAATTCTGGCTCCTACTTACATTCGCTGTCCTATCATTGATTTGTTCAACTTTTACTATTTACTGTTTTTTATCCAATCGGAAAATGCGTCATGGTTTACACAATCACAGTATTCTCTTTTTGATCATCACCAACGTTATTTTAATCTTTACCGATGTACTTTGGATGTTGATTAGTCTCTATCAAGTCGGACCTCCTCCGATACCAACCACGAGTTTCTGCTTAACCTGGTGGGTGATTGACGATAGTCTGTACAATATCCAAGCTTTCATTCTCGCATGGGCATCGATTGAACGTCATTTATTAATCTTTCACAGTAGATACATCACGACACAAAAACAAAAATTTCTTTTGCATTATTTACCGCCGTTGATTATCATCATTTACCTATTTAGTTTCCATATACACGTTCTAGTCTTCCCGTCGTGTGAAAACTCATTTGATTTCACCGATCTTCAATGTGGCTCATCGCCTTGTTATGTCGCGGTCAATTTCATCACGATATGGGATACGATTGTTAACAATGTCTTGCCGACATTGATTATTGTTACATTTAACGTCGCCTTACTCTACCGAATAATTCGTCAGAAGAAACGATTGAGACAACCGATTCAGTGGCGAAAACATCGACGAATGTCAATGCAGTTGATATCTGTCTCCGCTGTTTATGTATTTCTTCATTTACCAATGATTATCATTACATTCATACAGATGGTTCAAGGCAAAGATCCATCAGTCGATTTTGGCGGTCAAATGTATGTATTTATCGCGACTTATAGTGTGACATTATCATTACCCGTTGTTGTTTGTGTCAATTTTTTGTCGTTAGACAAACATCGCCACGTACGGATATCACCGACGGCTACGGTTGTGCCTGTAAAGAAATGGACAGAGAAAAGAGTTGAGCGTTAGTCAGATGAACAGTACGGAAGTGAGTTTTATTGACGACAAATTGCACGGAATGAATCAAAATCTATGAGAAGTAGTTCAACATTGTGTGCGATTAAATAAAAAAAATTTTTGAAGACCGAAAATAGTTCTTATTGACCTTTCAACTCATTTGGAATGATACAACGAGGGATTTCAACCATCTTATGTAAATTTGCCGTATGTCGTTGATTGTAAATCTCCAGAACTTTCTTTTCTCTCTCAGTCAATGCTGTC